ACAGTGTCAAGAAGGTTGATAGGAACATGGCCACTGCCTTGCAAAGCCCTAGGAGCATCTTAACATGGTATTCTGCCTGGATTTAGGCAAGGCAATGGTCCTCACATGCAAGAAGAAAGACACAAGCAAGTGGGACTATTTAATCCACAGAGTCTTCCCTATATAGGATGATAGAAAAATTCTGGAAATGGGTGACTGATGAGGTGATGGTTATACAACATGGAGGACATAATCAATGATACTGAATTGATCCTTAAAATCATTAAAATGCTTGATTTCATGTTGTGTATTTACCATAATAAACATTAAAGTGATGGGGAAAGTCCTTGAATCCAAGGAGCTCACAGCACTGGACAATAAGGGACATAAAATAAAACTTACACACTATATACCTATGCATCAACTTCCTAAGATCACAGAAGGAACAAGTAGCTGGCATCAAGTGCTTACTTGTTAATACATGCTACATACTGAGTGAATAGGGAGCCCTGAGCAAGATGGTATTACACCGAATCTTCAAGCCTGACCAAGAGTTCATGAGACAGATCTTGGTGTCTGGAATTACCTTAGAAGAATTTGAACCATGGCTCTCCTGGTCAGGATAACACTATCCACAGAGGAAAGGATGGGTTTGGAAGAGAATATTATGCAAGTGGTAAGAAAGGGCACCCCTTGAAATCAGAAGTATGGTATTGGTCAAGGAAGGGCAGAAGGCCTAGAAAGAAATCACAGTTTATCCAGGATGGATGAAAGAGACAGCACAGTTCCTGGGAAGCCAGCCAAGCAATGGATTGACATTACAGGCCAGCAAAGAAAATGACTCTTAAATAATACAGGGGGAAACCCAGTCACCTAGAAACCCTGTCCCTGTCACACCCTGCAGGCCCCACTCCTCCTTGCAGAGGATAAATTGGGGCTGTAAAATGATGGCCTGCTTCTTGGGAAACCTGCTTTGGGGAATAATCGTAACCCAACAGGAAGAGGAGAATTTCTAGGAAAGTGCACAGTAAACATCTGAGAACTTTCTTTTCCTTACAGACGACTCTCAGCTCGGTGTATTTCCCTAGCCAGCGGTGGAATGATGCAGCACAGGAAGTAGTAAGTTCTTGTATCACGAAAGCAACAGGACAGGCATCCGAAGTGCAGCTTTGCTGAAAAGTTCAAATTTGCTACATAACAATTATACTCACAAGGAACCCCAATGTATGGGGAGTTCTGTCTACCGACGCAGTATACATCAGGCTCATCTGAATTCTATCATTTGTGTGTTTGCTTCTCAGTATAGAATCATAGAAGCTTAAAAGCAAATAGTTACAATCTACCCAAGAGTTGCTTTTTCTAAATCCAGTTTCCTTACTTAACTAAAAATACCACTATAGGGGCTGGAGAGATGGCTCAGCGGTTGTTGTTGCAGAAGACCCGGGTTTGACTCCCAGCACCCACATGGCAGCTCACAACTGTCTGTAATTCCAGTTCCAGGGGATCCGACCGCCTCTTCGGTCTTCTGCAGGCATTGCACGGCACAGGTGCACCTACCTACATTCAGGCAATACACACATACACATAAAATAAAAATAATAAATATTTTTTAAGAAATACCACTATAGTACATGTAAGCCTGATTGATTTGCAAAGTGCTTTCATAAATGTCGACTTTGGCTTATTTAATACAAAACACTATACAGTGAGTAAAATTATTTTTACTTTGTTGATTCTAGAAATGAGGCTCGGTGAAATTGATTGAAATGCCTCAGTCACATGATGTGTAAATGACAACCCAGGTTTAAAATTCATCTGTTTTCTTTTTGCCTCTTCTGTGTGTGTGTGTGTGTGTGTGTGTGTGTGTGTGTGTGTGAGGGGGGGGGGGGTACACAATGCAGGTGCCCAAAGAGGTGAGAAGAAGGCGCCAGATCGCCTGGAGCTGGGATTACAGGCAGCTGTTAACCAGGTGACAAGGATGCTGGAAAGCAAACCAGGATCCTCTGCAAGAGCAGTATGCACTCTTAACCATGGAGCCGTCTTCCCAGCACCAGTAACCCAGTTTTAAGTTCATCTCTTATGGCACATTTTCCATAGAGCTTTAGAATTTTTCACATGTGTATATTTCTAAAATCAAATTGAAATCATACCATACACACATTTTGTAATTTAAAATTTTAGACATAAATATATGAGTATTTTCTCACACTCCAAGTATATATTATAGCATGATGGGTTATATGCTTAGCCACAAAAGAAACCTCAACAGCTTTGGAAGAACTAAAATCTTATAGCGTTCTCTAATGGCAGGGAATTAAACTAGAAATCTATATAAAAGGATAGTGGTAGCCAGGTATGATGACACACACTTTTAATCTCAGCACTCAGGAAGATCCCAGAAGCAGGCAGAGCTCTGTGAGTTCAAGACCAGCCTGGCCTGCCCAGCAAGTTCTAGGCCAGCCACAGCTACCTAGAGAAATCCTGTCTCAACAAATCAAGTTAAAAACAACACTTGGAAACGAAACTATATACTCCCAAATAAGGAGGTTAAAGAGAAAAATCTAAAGATGATTTTAAATATTTTGAACTAAATGAAAATAAAACATAGAAATGATGAGACATAGATAATGCTGGGTTGAGAGTAAATTTTATAATACTAAATGAATATATTAGAAAAGAGGGGGAAACCTCAAATCACTCATCTAAGCGTCCACCATAAAACCCTAAAAATTAAGAACAAACTAAGTACAAAGAAAGTAGCAATGTATAAATAAGTAACAAAGATAACAACAAAAATCAATAAAATTGAAAATAGAAAATGAGGGAAAAATCAATGAAATTCACTAGGCTGTAGTTGAATGACAAAGCACCTGCCTAGGCTGGGCATGTTGGTGCACACCTTTAGTCACTTGGGAGGCAGAGACAGGTGGGTCTCTATGAGATAGAAGCCAGTCTGGTCTACATAGCAAATTCTAGGCCAGCTGGGGCTACAGGGAGATCCTGTCTCAAAAAACAAAGCAAACAAGCAAACAAACAAGCACCTGCCTAGCATGTATGAAGCTGCGTGTTCAATCCCAGCATTAAAGAAAGAGAGAGGCAGGAGGGTGAGGTGGGCATGGAAGGAAGGAGGGAGGGAGGGAGGGAGAGAGGGAGGGAAGGAGGGAGGGTAGGAGCTTTCCAGAAGAAAGAAAAACAAGAACAAGAGAAAAAGATGAATGAAACAGAGAGCTAGGTTTTTTAAAAAACGAAACCAGCAAATTTTAGTAAGACTGACAAAAAAGATGGAACATGCAAATTACCCCTTGGCCTCCTCAGACACATGCACATACATAGGCTCATTTAGGCACACACACATGCACAAGTGTACTAAACAATTTTTAAAATTAAGTGGAGAGTACGATAAAGGAAGACACTCAACATTGACCTCTGACCTCCATTCACATATGCACAAGCAAGTGCCTCCACACTCGCAGGTACACACACATACATATATCACATATACACACACATATACACATACACACAGAGATTACACCTGAATCTACAGTCCTCTCCAAACATTTAATTTTAATTAAAAATAAAATTAGGTTCAAATTTAACATACATTTTACATTTTCTAATATTAATTGTATATCTTGAGTATTTTCTCATCATATGAAATATTTTTGTATTGTATTTCTTGTTATTTATATTTTATAACAACAAAATATATGAAATGCATGTATGTAAGTGCACTTGTGTTGTGCAATGTCCATGAAGGTCAAATATGGTGCTGGATCTCTTAGAACTGGTTATGGGCAGTTGTTAGCCACCATGTGGGTACTGGGAATGGAACCCAGGTCCCCAGGTCCTCTGCAAAAGCAGCCAGTGCTCTTAATCACTGAGCCATCTCTCCAGCCCCTATATTATATTTCTCAGCTGCTTTGTATTTCATTTATGGATCTACCACAATATTATTTATTTCTTTTTCTTGGGGATTTGGATTATTCCAAATATTTCATTACTGTCATTAAAAATGCTAAAGAAAGCATCCTGGTAACCTCTCTCTCCTTTTAAAAAAAAAAAGTTTTGGGGCTAGAGAGATGGTTCAGTGATTAAGAGTGCTTGCTGCTCTTGCAAGGACTCGAGTTCAGTTCCCAACACCCATGTCAGGTGATTCACAATCACATGTAACTCCAGCTTCAGGGGATTTGACGCCCTCTTCTGGCCTCTGAGAGCAACACACACATGCATACACACACACACACACACACACACACACTCATGCACACACGCACATAAAAGTAAAAATGTAATTTTCTCATTATAGTGTATAACTCAATATTTTTAGTAGATTCACAGTGTTGGGAAATGGTCACTAGCTCCAAGGAAGGGTGGAGACCAAAAGACCAGTGGAATTTGCTGGCTGCTGGCTTAATCAAGAAAACATAATCCCCAGGTTCAGAGACAGACCCTGCCTCAAAAGAGTAGGTGGAGAGTTGTGGAGGAAAGCACACAAGGCCCTTTTCTGGCCTCCATGTACATGCACTCAGAAGTATATGTGCACATACACTCACACACACAGGTATAAACAAACAAATAAATATATCTTTAAAAAAAAAAGAAACTAAGATTTGGTAATATTAAGTAATTTGCCTGGGCATAATATTTATCCACCATCAAATAAGTGTAGTATATCTATACAGTAGATTATTTGGCAGTAAAAAGGAATGGCCACTGGCAGATGTTACGGTATGAATGACCCTTGAGGACACCATGGTAAGAGAAAGAAGGCTGCGCACTATATGATTGGGTGTGTTTGAAATGTCCAGAGAAGCCTGGTAAAGCAGCCAGGACTTGCAGATTCCAAAGGCTACACTCTTCTTAGTAATGGCATCAGTATGTAATCTGGAGTCCTAATCCAAGGCTATGTAGCCCGTCATAACAGCAACAACAACAACAAAAAAAGGTGTCTGGGGGCCAGCAAAGACCCCACTGAGCACTGAGCACAAGCAAACAGTATGCTTCATGAATCAACCTACCTGAGGTGTCCCTCCCCCAGGCCTGGGTCCTTTGGATTACCTGTGTTTATTCTGGCTCCTCTCTTTCCCTCTTCCCTGCAAAACCCTGTGTGTAAAGGGTTTTCCCTTCCAGTTTAATTTTATGCTAAGGAGGACCCATGGGGCTCCCTCTGAGTATTTGTTTTGTTGACAGGAAGCATTAGTTATGAGTCATTCCAGAAGCAGTGTCTTAAAAAGCAAGGCAGCCCTACCAGGCGATGGTTCTGCAGACCTGGGGGTGTCTGGGGTCACTCCAGACAACTCCAGCATCTATGGGGCCACAGTCCAGAGCCCTCACAGGGTTGGTTGTAAGCAGGAAGTCTGGTCTGCATTACCCTTTTGCTGTGGGACAGAAAGAACAGTCCCCAGCGAAGGACATTCAGGTCAGACCACAAGCTGAGCAGAAATGAGGCACACAGGCTGGTGACAAGCCACTGAAATCTCATTTCTGGGAAGACAGCACCGCAGAGCCAAAGGACACCGACTAATGAACAATTCAGGTCAATGGGTAGATGGCCAGAGTCCAGGGAAGAAGAGACACAGCCAGTGAAACTGCTGGTGGGTTAAACCACCCGAGGGTCTTTTTGCAAGGCTAGAAAAACCAAGGCAACTGAAACTCTGGGTGTCCTTGGAAGGCTCCCCAATATCCATACAAGCTTTAGGAAGACAGCACCAAACATCACACCAAGCTCTTTTTGTTCATGGTATAAATCCTCATCCGCTCTCTCATGCCAGGTACCATGCTAAGTGCTGAAGTGCCGTAAAGCAAAACTGCCTCCTCATGGAGCTTACGTCCTAGTGCCTAATTCCAAATTATATGAGCCAGCCCCATGGATGGCTTTTGTCAGGATCCATCTCTACTGCCTTCTCTAATCCGGGGCCAGCTGGGTCCCCAGAAATGTCTTGGAATGGCTCTGGCTGCTGGTCCTGCCTCTCATTCTCACACAGAGGCCCAGGTTAACCCGTGGAATGATTCGGTAAGTCCACTACTTCACTGTACCAGGTTAACAAAGACAGTTTGAGGTGGTCACATGAGCAAGGGCAATGGAACTCACAATACTTGAATTTGAATCTTGTATCTGCTGTGTTAGCAGTTTTCTTTGCGTTGGGCATCATTCATTTTGCCCAGCACAGGCTCCCTGTCCTTAGACACAGGCTCACAGTAGCACTAAAAGGATTGTGGATTCTAAAATATGCCATTTTTATTTCTTATATTTAAAAGTCTGAATATAAGTCTGGGGGACTGAAGAGATGGCTCAGCAGTAAAGAGTGCAGGCTGCTCTTACAGAGGACCTACGTTCAATTCCCAGCACCCACATGGCAGCTAACTCCAGTTCCATGGGATTGATGCCCTCTTCTGACCTCTGTGGGCATTGCATGACATGGGTGCACTTACATACATGCAGGCAATACATTCATACACATAAAATAAAAATAAAATATAAGGATGAGAAAAAGAAGAATGAGCATTTAAAACCAGCTCCTATTTAATGGCATAATTTTTCTCTCACTACAAAATATTTTTGTGACACATGATTATATGCTGTTATTTTTGCCAGTAGTGGGTTTATATTTTATCTTATATATTCTAAATCCAATATGATTTTAACATGTGTCTTAACAAGATCCATTTTTCATTAATGGATCTTGTGGCCAAGTGCAAATGAAGAGGTTAGCTGCGCTTACATAGTTAAAATGCTACTTTCAGGGCTGGAGAGATGGCTCAGCGGTTAAGAGCACCAGCTGCTCTTGCAGAGGACCCAGGTTCGATTCCCATCACCCACTTGGCTGCTAACAACTGTCTGTAACTCCAGTTCCAGGGGATCTAACGCCCTCTTCTGATCTCTGTGGGCACTGCATGACATGGGTGCATTTACATACATGCAGGCAATACATTCATACACATAAAATAAAAATAAAATATGTTTTTAAAAAAACCTCTAGGCTGGGGGATGAATGTAGTTCAGTTGGTATGATGCTCACCTAGCATACTCAAAATCCTGGGTTCCATCCCTATCACCACATAAAACTAGGCATGGTGGCACATACCTATAATCCTAGCACTCGGGAGATGGAGGCAAGATCATCAAGTTCAAGGTCATCTTTGGCTACCTAGTAAGTTTGAAGCCAGCCTGGACTATACAACACCTTATCCCAAACAAAAACCAATAAAAATGTTGGAAATCACAATCTGAAAATTGAAAGTATCTTCATTAACATTTATTTTTATTTGGAGGGGGTTGGTTGTTGTTTTTGCTAAGACAAAACGTTGCTGTTGCCCAGGCTGGCCTCCTACTCACTGGGTGCTGTACTACCCAGCTTTATTTTGGGGGATGTTTGAAATGGTCTTGGTATGTAGCTCAGAGTGACCTGAAACTCACAGTCCTCCCGCCTAGTCCCTAGAGCTGGAAGAACAGTATTCTTAAAGTAATACCAGCTGTGGTTGACTGGGTGTAGGAGTGGGACAGGAAAGAAGGGAGGGAGAGCTCCAAAGGCCTCCTCTTGGCATTGTGGCTCCACTCACTGTCACATGCCCAGAAATGGCTTCCTTGTATTTTTACACATGGAAATTTATCCGATTTTTGACTTTTCATTTGGGCTAAGGGATGGTAAATATCGTCAAGTTGACAGGATCAAGAGTCACCTAGGAGACAAACACTCTCTGTGAGACAGTTTCTAGATTGTGTTAACTCAGGTAGGAAGACAACCCTAAATGTGGGTTTCCTGCCATGAGGGACTGTGCCCTCAAACTTCCAGCCAAAATAAACCCTTCCTTCCTTAAGTTGCATTTTGTCATGTGCTTTGTTACAGCAACTAAAATGTAACTAATTCAAGTCATTTTTTATTATATGATAATTAGACAGAGGTATTTTATAAAACAAGAGTTCTAACTCACTGCTCTTACTCTAAAAGAAAAAGTTACAATCAGCCACATATCTTCAAAAGAATGGTGTGCAAAGTAGCCAGTGTGGCGTCAGGCCCTTGGTGGTGAAGAGCCGAGGAGCCTTTGCCTCAGTCTTGTCTCACACCAGCTGTCCTCTCAGAAGAGGCTGGGCATCACGCCACCCCTTCATCTTGACATCACTCGATGCCCCAGAAATATTTCACAATCGCTCCGTTCTTTGTGTTCCATCTGTCCTTATAAGCAGGTACAGGCTGGGCCTGCTCAGCTTGTTTTTTGTTTTTTTTTAACAGATAAGGAAATGGAGCCGAAGAGGAAAGCTGGTAAACTTTCACGTCACCTGCTGAGTCAAGGCAGAAGCATCTGACTGACGTTTGTCCCCTTTAGATGCCTAAAGTGCAGGCCTGGCCTGGCTGACTAGTGTTGTTTTACTGCCCCCAGCAATACTGCTGTAAGCACCAACTCCCCTGCCCCTGTACCCACAGCCACCAGGCCCCATTATAGCACATGGGCCTCACTAGTGTACATGGGTCTCTCTCTCTCTCTCTCTCTCTCTCTCTCTCTCTCTCTCTCTCATCACTTGCTCCTCTCCTTCAGCACAAATGAATTAAGTTATACCAAATTATGGGCATCAATTTTGGAGTAAGTCTTCTCCTTCCATTATGTAAATCCTGGGGATTGAACTCAGGTCACTAGGCTTGACAGCAAGTGTCTTTATCCACTAAGCCATCTCTCTGGACCACTAAGTTTGGAAGCTGTGCTGGATAGCTTTAGTGTCAGCTTGACACACCTGGGTTGAGGGAGCCTCAGTTGGGGAATTGCCTCCATTGGACTGGCCTGTGGCCATGTCTGAAGGGCATCTTCTTGATGAGTGGTGTGGGAGGGTCCAGCCCACTGTGGGTGGTGCCACCCCTGGGCAGGTGGGCCTGTGTTGCATAAGAAAGCAGGCTGAGCAGGGGCCAAGAGAGCAAGCCAGTAAGCAGTGTTCCTCCATGGTCTGTACTCCAGCTCCTGCCTCCAGGTTCCTGCCCTGAGCTTGGGCTCCCTGATGAACTACAACCTGGGAGATGTAAGCTGAATAAACCCTTTCCTCCCCAAGTTGGTAGTGGTCAGAGTGTTTTGTCACAGCAATGAAGAAACAAACTAGGACAGAAGCAAAGACATAATTTCTCCCTAAGGGCACCATTCCATCATTCTTTGTAGAGGAATGAATCAACAATATTGGATTAACCCCAGAAGCAGGGCTATTGTGTTCCATGTTACAGGGTATGCACCACACAATTGCACAGTCCTGTAGTGATCTACCTTGAAAATCACTATGACTTTAATGATGTCATAGAACAAAAAGATCTTAATATGATTCTCTCTGGGCTATAGACAAAAGGAGAGAAACAGGCAGACTTATCTACAATCCATGCCAGAGACAACAGTATGTGAAAACCAGCTCAGCTCGGCCCGAAAAGCAAGTGACCTGGTTCTAGGACCAGCTCAGCCAGTGACTAGCTATTTGGCCTTTGGCCAGATCCTTAGTCACATCCTTCCCCCCAACACCATAAACCACATAGCTAGAAGTGCTCTGGAGATTTAGAATATATAACTAAGTATTATGAATCACTATTTTATTGTATTATGTGTGTGTTTGTGTTGTACACAGGTGTATGTGTGGAGGCCAGCTGACAACTTTGGGTGTTGTTCCTTAGGTACCATCCACCTTGTTTTTTGAGTCAGGGTCTCTTACCAGCCTGAAACTCATCAAGTAGGCTTGACTGGCCCCAGGGACCCTCCCATCTTCACCTCTCCAGCCAGGGATCACAAGTGCATGCTACCACACCCAGCTCCTTAGAGGATCCTAGAGATCTGAACTCAGGTCCCCATGCTTTCATAGCAAGTACTTTATTGACTGAGCCATCTCCTCAGCTTCATAAATTAGCATTTTAAAAGTTGAAAACTAGCCAGGCATGGTGGCGCATGACTTTAATCCCAGCACTCGGGAGGCAGAGGCAGGCAGATCTCTGTGAGTTCAAGGCCAGCCTGGTCTACATAGTTCCAGGACAGCTGGGGCTACAGCTTAAAAAGACCAAAAAAAAACAAAAAGACCAAAAAAAAAAAAATGTTGAAAACTAACTGGAGTCAAGG